TTAATAACGTAAAAGAAAATCACAACACAGTCGTCAATGGCTTGTATTTTCAGTCATATCTAATAACGTTTTAAGGTATTGTGTGGCGCTGTTTTTGGGATTCCAACCAGGGTATCATAAAGGATCAACAGACGTCAGTCATGTACAAATTTCTTTCATACTATGGCACTATGTCAAAAACTGACTACCTCCCAGCTTTTCGGAACCAGTTCCAAAGTCGACAAGCAATCCGCGATGTAAAACCCATTAAAACGACATTCGTAGTACATGTCTAAGCCACTGAATATAATGCCAAAAATTGAATCGTTTCTGTCCCCCGGCGAATCTCCTCATTACTAATAAAGCGGTGCCATAGAATGTCAGCAATCCTTCGGAGATTAGGTCTCACAAGCATAGAACAATGTTGCTCGTACTAGAGTTGTAAGTGTGGCTTTTACTATGCGTGAATCGATCTTACCGCTCACCCCTTTAACAACAGCACTTACACATCTAGCCAGATACACAAACTTCTCGACTACCTCCAAGTGCTTTTTTGGGATCACTTAAGTGGTGGCAGAACCCATCCTTGATAGCATCTGAGCCGCAATCTGTTAGGGCTGATAAAAATCATCCAGCTCTATAAGGGTGGTTTGCATTGCAACACAAATTTTGCTGCCTTAAATTTTTAAAAACTAAGACTATTTGTTGAGCTATTAAACAAAGTATAAAATGCACCATATTTAAAACTTCTATCACAACTAAAGGTCCGCTACTAGTGCCTAATGGATTATTGGGAGCAATCGGTAGACCAAAGTTAGCAGGTCAATGAGTGAATGTTTAGGGATAGTCTGTTGATTTGGAACCGCTGGTTAAACAAAATACTTGACAGTCGTCTGAATAAAAACCAACACAAATAGAATCATAGGAACGTCTAATAAACAAAATTGTGAAAACCAGAGCCTAGACAAATAGATATGAGTAGTTAAAAATGTGAATGGTAAAACTGAAAGACCTACCGCTAGTACGTTTATGTACAAGATTGCAAAGTGTAGAATCATACTAAAGCAGATCGCAGCGATAAGCCACATATTATGCCAAGGAGGCATGACCAGAAGCGACTGATTCTCAGAAAGGCTAATAAAATAAAGAAACATAATACAAAATTACCGAGGGAGACACAATGTCGACCAGAACAGCATATGATGGAAGACGCACAAACACCGGTACAATGAAGCACCAAATGTATATGCACAACACTTCGTCATTTGAAGTGTATGAGGGCTAGAACGCTGTTCGGATGCCCAAACCAAAGCAGGTGGTTTTCTTAGGGGGCCACTCCCCGAGTCTTTTACCTAGAGGTCTAATCCATAAGACAATGAAGCAACATTAGATTCATACGCCATTTCTTCTCTCCGGATTCTGGACCCCATGTGCATTTGACATAAAATAAGACGTAGGATCTAATATACCACTGAACTAGCATTTATTTAAAGGAGACTTTTTCTTAAAATATTATGATAGCGATAACCATATAAGTTACTCCGTTTACTACTCTATTTATGCAAGACCTTTAAAACCTAACCAACCATTAGCATCTATACATATTCAACTCACATTTTTTAAATGGAGATAGTTAGCTTTGTACTATTATACGTAATGACAATCAACTAAATTTGTATCCTATTCTTCTTATTCCATATAAATATATGCAAATAATTCTCAACCATTTAAAATAATGGTCTGATTTACTTATCAACACCATACAGTGGATAATTTGCTAACATCGACAACTCATTTGAAGGGTTTGCGTAAAAACTATGTTAAGCGTCTGGCGCGAGACTGATAGTTCCTGGGTTCAAGTCCCGCGAGACGGGGTCGTGGACGCGCACTGCTGAAAAGTCCCACAATAGGACGAAACGGCCGTCCAGTGCTTCCAGGTTTTCCATAGTGGTCTAGTTTCAATTGACTCATGATCTCAACTGTTGTAAAAACTATGTATTGATCTCTTTTTTATTATAGAATGACTCGATTTGTCACTGCAAAAACTCAACGATATGGAAGATAGATGGTCACCATATTTCTGTGCGTGGTTGGACTTGAATAAGTATCACACGTAAAAACTGCGAATGAGGCTTACTGATACATAATGACTTAGAAAACAGCTTACTATATCTAGTGGACTTAAAACTTGTAAACGAAATGGATAATCTTTATAGCGTCAACCATAAATAACTCATAAATGAGGTAAAAATCAACAAAATGAATTACCTGTTCAATGCGTTAAACATCTCAATCAAAACCAACACAGACAATGCCATTGTCATAGGTTTTGGACTGGCGAATACGCTACAATTAACTCCTTTGAACATAGATGGTTCCAACTGGCATTGCAAATGATGTGTCTAAAAGAAACGAATTGTATTTTAATTCAAAGATAACCATAAAGAAAAGGACAACTGGTACTGAGTAGAAAGAAATCACGGTGTTGAAGGTGTCTCACGACTAGAAATGAAATTTTGAAACTAGGATGACACAGAAAGTAGGAAATATTATCGCTTAAATGGGCCGTAAATACAAATAGGCAGAAAACATTTTTGGTGTATCGGATGTAAACGTTACGTAATTTTGTTATTACTACATACAAGTGAGTTCAAAAAAAGATATATTAACTGAAATGTTTAGGTGAACACTTCGCTTCTGTACTACTGCTGCCAAATACGGATGAAACCAGTAGTTACTCCCTTAAAAGAGCTAAAACATAATAGTCAGGAATCAATGAGCAATATATGAGAGAAATAAGCTAGTAAGTAATTAAAAATACGAACCAGCAATAATGATGATTTACTTGGAAATATATAAGTACACATCACATATTAGAGGCTGGGTATTTTTACGTAAGTTGCTATGGAAAAGAAAGTCTCATGTTGGTTCCCTTCTATTGTCAAACATTTTTTTCGAAATTCCATATAACTATCTTTTGAAATCTATTATTATTCCTGTATTTTTCACAAATTAGATTGAATGCACTTTTAACCCTGTAAGCGGATTTACTGAAATCTTTTTTTATTTTATAGATTTTATTTTACTGAACATTAAAAAACACATGATAGTCGTGGACACAGAATGTAAATGTTAACGCGATATAGATTGGATTGAAACATGTTCCGTGCAGGACTGTGTTGGGGCACGCTATTGTCTATTTCTTAACCAATCAGCGCTAGTAAACACTTAGAGAAAACTCCAGAATTTTGTGTAAAAATTATAAACATTCTAACGATTTTTTATTGTGATTCCTACTTCCATCCAACACTTTTATTTGGAGTATAACTACGTTCTTATTCAAAAATGTTTTGGTTTTGGGACCTGTCGAGCGAAGTAATGTTCAGGAATACTAAGCGATAGGAATAGCTGGGTAGTGATAAGAGAAATTATAACAGTAACTTTACACTTAATTTCACCAACTGACAGCTATATAGCGATACCAAGTAAAACCTATCAGTGGGATGACGAAAGCATTAATAAAAATGATAGGTGTCAAAAATGTCCATTGTTTAAAATTAGGGATGTATAAATTGCATAAAAATAGTAAAATGCATTTTCTATGGAAATGTACATACCAGCTGATAATAGTTCACTTTGGGACCGCCCTCATAGACCATGAACCACCAGGCTGCTGCTCCAACTGTTGCACACCCAACATAGATGCCTATCAACATGTATCGAAGAAATAACCAACCGGAAATCAATGGTTCTTTGCTTTTACGTGGTGGTTTAGTCATTATATCAACATCAGGAGGATTAAATCCTAAGGCTGTAGCAGGTAAACCATCAGTCACTAAGTTAACCCAGAGTAATTGTACAGGAATCAAAGCCTCAGGCATTCCAAGAGCAGCAGTCAAGAAAATGCAGACAACTAAGGCGAGAAAAATAAGCAAAGACATGGTTTATCACTAAAAGTTTGTGGTTAGTCTAAAATATAAGAAATTACAATACTTGTTTTATTGGTTGCACAAGGCCTAGTAAAAACAATGATTTGTTTCAGACGGTTGCAAAACCTACGATAAACGGATTTTGAAGTCTGTAACCATTGAAGAAATTGATAAAGATTAAATGAAACTGAAGTAACACATTTTTACTCTAATAACTTATGAACAGCGGCTCTCAACAAAAAGAAAATAGAGATGAAATGGAAAATTCAAGGAATTATGATACTCCTAAACGCAATACTTTTAGGGCCGAAAGTTGATTGAGGTACATATAAAGTTTTATGAATACTAGTTTGAAGACATCTAAATATTCTTAGTTGACTTTCCTCAAGCGAAGGTACTGATAAAATTTCATTTATGAACTTTAATAAATTACTATACAATCTAGTGGCAAACAAATGAACTTACCTTCGCCGATGTTAGACGAAATAAGGTAACGGATAAACTGTTTCATGTTATCATATATAGCTCGGCCTTCTTCAACGGCCGCAACAATTGTGCTAAAATTATCATCTGCTAGTACCATGTCAGAAGCAGATTTGGCAACGGCAGTACCACTTCCCATAGCAATCCCAATTTCCGCCTTCTTTAGTGCAGGAGCGTCATTAACACCATCTCCAGTCTATTAAGACATTAAAAGAGTAAGCGAACTTTAGCATTTAGAGACAGCAATACAGTATCGAACGAAAATTACACAATAGGTAGTCATCGATTCATTACAAACGAGGTTGAGTGGTACATTTTTTTAATTATTGCATCATCCAGTTGTCTACACTGGAACACTGTGCGTGTGCCGAAACCGAAACAAAGATTGCCAACCACGAAGGTTGTTTTGACAAGCTACCCCAGGTGAGTTATTCGCGATAAAAACTTGAAAAACGAAGAGATGGACATGACCAAATTGACTAGGGTTAGACGATTGGGATAAGTAATAAGTGCTATCGCTTCAATATTAGAAAATAACTCAGAGATATTTATGTGTTTATTTTGCGGTTGTATAAGGAAAGCTGACCTATGTAAGATAGAAACACTTGATGCCATACCTGGAGGTTAGGTAGAATTACAAACAATCGACAAATCGACACTTGACATCAAAATATTTGAAACAGAAACAACAATGAGTAAAATCAGAGTTATTTCAAGAATACAAAAAATATATCGAGTATGTATGAAATTACCATGACAAAAGGATGACGAAATGCGTTGCGTACGTAGCACATTAAAGTGAGAAAACGCAGCTCAAATGTATGACATCTTGACATAAACGTATGGATATTTTAGATTAATTAAATTCTGAAATTCAAGATACAATAAGAAATAACGGTACGCGAAGAAATTTGAAAATTAATGGCTACCACAAGATCTCGGGATGTATTCAGAAAGTACGCCTGGCAACACATGTAGCGTAGACAAGATGTCTATTTTTCATAGTGAATATATACGACGCAACAATCCGCTCTGAAAGAATTTATGGCTGTGAAATAGAGGCAGTTTCTTTGTCTTTTCTATCCATTTTCTCGACGCAGTCATTATTATTGCTACATTATCAAGACTCCCTTGTTAATGTTATCTTACCAAACTAATAAGGGATAGCAATTTGACCGAAGCATACTAGAGCTGGGCCCTTATGACTAGCCGACAACCACAATGAATTCGTTCGAACAGGTTCGAGTCATTCAACTGTAGTCGGGTAATTACCTGTACCATAAGTCACAACTAAAATTTGTAATTTCACCGACCATATATGTTTTACCACCTAGAATGAGTTACAACATTATGCGAGACCAAAACCACTAATCAAAATGTGAGGCGTTTTTGCTTGTCACAAAAATTATGTGATAAGATACACAGTTTACATGGAACGATATTTACTTAATAGCATTAGTGATATTATATATATATATATATATGTATATATATGTATATATATATATATATATATATATATATATATATAGAGAGAGAGAGAGAGAGAGAGAGAGAATGAAAAAGTATAAAGACTTACCATCGCAGATACTTCACCATCCTGCTGTAGGAATTGTACTATTAGACTTTTATGGGCGGGTTCAACGCGAGCAAACAACTTTCCGTTGCGTACTGCATCCTTTTTCTTGTCTAAACTGAGGTCATCGAATTCTCGTCCCGTGAAGGACTTTCCACAAGTATCTTCTTTATCTTCAAACAATCCTATACGACGGCATATAGCTTCGGCAGTTGCTTTATTATCGCCTGTAATAACAATAACACGGATGCCAGCCTTTTTACAAGCTTGGATACTGCTGGCAACCTCACAACGTGGCGGGTCCACCATACCAACAACACCCACAAGAGTTAATTCAGTCTGAAAATGAAAACCATTAGAAGTAATTGGTGTAAGCTTGTGATACGATGGAGTGGTAATAAGTTGTTAGAAAATGGTCGATCAAAAAGAAAGGGCCCAAATGCGTAACACAAAATAGATAAGTATACCGTTCACTTGTAAACTTTCTTATATACAGGGATATACGAATACACTGTACCATACCACATAAAATCTCAAAGCAAATGGACAACAATTCATCATCGCTGCTTATTCTTCAATTTAGTTTGAATGTAACATGTGTTATACACCTGAATGAAACCTGAAACTGTTTTTTAAGCATTAACCAAACTGCGTACAGAGGGAACTAAAAACACATCACAAACGTTGTTCGAACTTAAATCTCCTTGCATCAAGCACTATACAACTAATAATGGTAAAAAATAAAAACAGGATCACTATTTGAGGAACTAAATGCAACGAGAAAGAACAAACATAGCTTACCTCATAATCCTTGAAATTTTTTGGATCTTTTAAATCAAAGTGAGAGTATGAAGGTGGTTCATCTCTTGTAGCTAAAGCCAAACAACGAAGAGTTTCACGTCCAGTGGCGTAGGTAGCTATTTTTCGAAGTACTTCGCCTTTTAGCTCAGACGTTAACAATAATTTGCCGCCTGTGGTGCGTACATGAGTGCATCTATCCAATATGGACTCCGGGGCGCCCTTATCAAAATGCACGTAGTAAGACAAAAGGAAATAATTCCATACAAATTCTTAATAGTTCAATAAATTTATATATCTAAAACACTGATTAAAAAAGCTATTTTGAGTGAAGGCGAGTACAGCTCAGGTTTGCTAATTGTTACTAAGCGAGATGGTTTTAGTTAAAACACATATTAAGCACACATTTAAGAGCATTAAGATCAATAACATTTACTTCGCTTCTATTGTTAAAAGCGCTAAATTTCCACCAATACCACTTTTTTATACAAGCATTTAGTAAGATATATGAAGCAATTCCTTTTTAAACCATTTATTTTACTAGGATTGAAGAAACGTTTGACTGAAAAAGCACAAACTCAGACAAAATAAGATTACCTTAACAAAGAGCTTTTCTTTAGAGCCAGAAATTTGACTTCGAGGGATGACATACGTAGACATTGACTTCCTATCCCGAGAAAACTCAAGAGTAAATTTTCTTTCATACATTTTCTACAATAGGAAGAAAAATACCGAAATAAATCACAGAAATTCAGTAAAACAGCCCCTGAATGCCCTGGTACGGCCGAGAGTGGGGAGAGTCCGCTCTCCCTCTCTAAATACTCTCACACGGCCACGCGTATACAGCCTCTGTCAGGGAAGTCCTACTCATTGCCTTCTCGTGGCGGGGGTGTTGTTTACGAAAATGAGAGGATGAAAAGCGAATGTCCGGCGCTTTAACCGGATTCCAAATCAATGGTGCACATGGGCTCCAGTATCCTGCGGGAACGAATGGCGTATGAACCAATCGTTGGTCACCGGCTACCATGGGACTGCATCTCCTTACGATGCTCCACTGCCTTGTGGGTTAGACCTTTAGGTCAAAGGCTCGGGGAGTGGCCCCCTAAGATAACCACCTGCTTCGGTTTGGGCACCCGGGCAGTATCACAGCCCACAAACAAACGATGAACTCTATGTCTTTGGCAACTACTTTTATCGCTCCGAAAAACAATCAGTCGATTCAAATAATTATCATTACTATTATTATCATTATTAATACTATTATTATTACTATTATTGTCATTATTGTTATTATTATCATTATTATTTTCCACATTATTCACCCTCTTTTATACTTATACAGCGGCTCGTCTTTGGTGGAAATCCGACTGTATCTAATCGTTCTCCAGTCACTGTCCGGTTGAAAATTGTATGTTACCACAGAATACGAGGACTGAAGCAGTTTTTCTGAAACCACGTGCACCATTCAAACTGGCTGCCTTCAACGTTCGCACAGTTATGCAGGTCGGACAACAGATAGGGCTGGCTATGTCTTTGGAAAGTTTTAATATTGACGTGTGTTGTCTATCCGAGACCCGTATTCAAGACTAGCGAAGTACTACAAATTCGATCTCGATCTGTCGCTTCAAAAAGCTTGTTTCACGTGCGCTTATCCGGGGACCCTGTGGCATCTTCGTCTGGTCTTGCAGGCGTTGGTGTCGCACTAAGCGCTAGAGCTGAGGCAGCACTAGTAGATTGGATCCCCATTAACAGTCAGTTATGTGCTGTTAGATTAGAAAGTTCCATCAAAGTGAGAAGAAATCGGCGTGAGAAACGATGTCTTTTCGTCATCTCCGCCTATGCCCCGACAGATTGCAGCCCGGATGCAATCAAGGATGAGTTTTACCACCAGTTATCTGTTCTTCTCCAGAAAGTGCGTTCGACAGATATTGTAGTACTAGCCGGAGACTTGAATGCTCAGGTCGGGCGTCTAGGCACAGAAGAGAGTCGTTTATGTGGCCGATGGGGACTCGTTGGTCGCAGGACAGGTAACGGGGACCGTCTACTGCGACTTTGCACAGACCACAACCTGTTTCTGGCTAGCACTAACTTTCGGCACAGTCATCGCCGATGTGCCACCTGGCGTCCTCCCTCTGCATCTCAACCCTGGACTCAGATTGATCACATCGCGATCAGCTACCGCTGGCGTGGTTGTGTAAAAGACTGCCGCTCCTTTTGGAGTACCTATCTGGACTCTGACCATGCCTTGGTCTGCGCCAATCTTGCCTTACTTTTCAGTGGCCAACGAAGTGACCACCACCAAAAGATTGATGTTAGCAAGCTGGTTGCAACTTCTGTTGCAAATAAGTATCGAACCGAGCTAGCCTCTAGGCTAGCTACCACTCCACCGAAAAGTATAGATGAGCATTGGTTGCAATTGCATGACGCCATGAAAATGGCGGGAACAGTCAGTTGTGGGTTTGCGAAACGTCCCGCTTTTAAGCACTGGGTTTCTCCAGGTTCCTTACAACTCATTGAAGCCCGTCGGTCTACTCCGGGTGACCGTGAGTTTGACCATAAACGAAGGATGTTACGTAAGGAAATTGGGCAAAGCTTGCGTAAGGACCGAGAAGCCTGGTGGTCGATGCGTGCTAATGAGCTGGAAGCAGCAGCTGCATCTGGTAACTACCGGAAGCTCTTCCAGCTCATCCGAGCCACTGGCAGCAAGAAGTCTGGTGTGAGTGAAACAATCTGCGAGGATGATGGGATGCCAATCACTAACATCCATCGACGTCTTGGACGATGGGCAGAATTTTTCGAAGGGCAGTTCAACTGGCCTGCTGCTCCGGCAACATCAGTCAGACTGTCATGCCCTCCATGGCCGGTGACGACTGATCCACCAAATGAGGAGGAAGTCCGCAAGGAACTCCAACTCTTGAAGCGTTACAAATCACCTGGCCCAGATGACTTACCTCCGGCTCTTTTTAAAGATGGTGGTGACTTTTTGACTAAGGAATTGACGACGTTGTTTACAAAGGTTTGGGAACTAGAGAGTGTACCAGCGTCATGGAATGAGTCGATAGTTGTCCCTATCTTTAAAAAGGGTTCACGTCGTTCCTGCAACAACTATCGTGGGATAAGTCTACTTACGATTGCGTCCAAGCTATTGGCTTCCGTCATTCTTCGTAGGTCGTTCAAAACCCGAGAAAGATTGACTCGCGAGGGGCAGGCTGGGTTTCGTTTTGGTCGAGGATGTATTGATCATATCTTCACCCTCCGCCAAATGTTAGAACACCGCCATACTTTTCAAAGGCCAACAATCGTCGTGTTTCTTGACATCAGGGCTGCCCAATCTCACCATTCCTCTTCGACTTTGCCATCGATGACATTCTGGAAACAGCTCTGACGAATGTAAGTAATGGTGGTGTGGATCTGTTGCTTGGAGAAAGACTTCTCGACCTTGAGTATGCGGACGATATTGTCTTACTGTGCGATAATGCCCAAGGCATGCAATCCGCACTTAATCAGTTGGCAATCAGTGTCCGTAGGTATGGTATGTGCTTTGCACCTTCGAAGTGCAAAGTACTTCTACAAGACTGGCAGGATTCCAATCCTGTACTCACCCTGGATGGTGAGCAGATAGACGTAGTTGAGAAGTTCGTGTATCCGGGTAGCTGCATAAGTGCTGGTGGGGGTGTGAGTGATGAGATCAATGCACGAATAGTGAAAGCCAGAGCGGCTTATGCCAATCTGGGCCACCTTTGGCGCCTTCGTGATGTTAGTCTGGCTGTAAAAGGCCGGATCTACAACGCGTCGGTGAGAGCAGTTTTGCTCTATGCTTGTGAAACCTGGTCTCTCCGAGTTGAGGACGTTAGACGACTCTCTGTGTTCGATCGTCGCTGTCTCCGAAGGATTGCTGACATTCAGTGGCAACACCATGTCAGTAATGCAGAGGTTCGGCATCGTGTGTTCGGGCACAGAGATGATAATGCAATTGGTGTCACCATCTTGAAACACCGACTTCGGTGGCTTGGACATGTTCTACGAATGTCGTCCCAGAGAATTCCACGTCGTGCATTATTTGCCGACTCTGGGACTGGTTGGAAGAAGCGGAGAGGTGGTCAGTGCATGACATGGTGTCGTGGCATGAAAGAAAGCTGCAAAGGACTGGCTTGTGTTGGTCCTTCACGACTCCCTGGCTGGGGTCCGAGAGATGGTGCTACACAGTGGCTAGAGACGTTATCAGATATGGCTCAGAATAGAAGCCAGTGGCGATCCAGCTGTAACCTTCTTTTACTTTCTTTATAAAAAGTGGTTGTGTCTGCTTTACCTGAAAGATTTCTTCTGATTGTACCTTGTCGTTCCGTCGTTACTACCACACTACCTTACTCCAATCTCTTCGTCATTGTTCTCTTTTTCTTTTGCGTTCCTTAGTTTTTTTTTCTTTCCTTCTACTTCTCTTCGAATTCTCATTGTTTTGTGTGGCGCATATATATTGGCGCTCTCTTGTACCAATATTTATGTGTTCAAATAAATAAATAAAAAAACTAAGAAGGTCAACTACCTGGATATCGCGATTACAAATCATTGCAAGCTGGTGATTAGTAAGATTTGATTTAGAGACTTTTGTGACATTCATTTTCTCAACCAAGCAGACCAATGCAGTCTCAGTCGCTTCACCCACTTTTTCATATGCATGCCGAGATTCACTGTATTCCACAGACGAGTCATTGCACAAAGAACATATTTGCGCAAGTTCTACAAGACAAGGATATTCAGAACAGTCTATTTTTCGTCCTTGATGGTGCCTGAAAATACGAAAGCAAGGTTTTATTAAAGTGATTGCTTCGGAAAAATACTGGCATGAATATCAATCGTGAGAGAACAGTGATATTCTTATGATTAGACACAAAAGCGCTAACTTGCATATTAACTCACTGGTTGAGGGTAGCTACATATATTAAGGTAAAAGGTAAGGGAAACTAATTCAACATAACATTTACATCAGCTAGATACCATATTTTCGAACGCATTAACAGTACAAATAGTTCAATCACTTTCGATTTCTCTGGTGAATTGTTTATAGTCTTACATAATGAAAACACGTCATGCTTCTACTTTATCGATAGCTAATGAGTTTTAGATTTATTTCCGAATTAACGCTGATATTTGTGGTCGACTCAACTCCGATGTATGTGCGTGTATAGTTTATGCTGAACAGAACCTCAATAATTAATTCAGAAGCCTTAGTTATTCAGGAAGACACTGTGAGAGGCTTTAGAAAGGTTGATTCGTTTTGCTTGTCATGATCAGTACACTCTATATACGAAGATTGTATAAATAGATGATCAGAAAATGGCACACCAATAAAACACGAAAACTAAGCTGAAACCTACACATTTCCTTCTGGAGCATATTTAGAACCCGTAATTTCAAACTCATCAAATTTTAGCTGCGAAGCATCACCGACCCGACTCTCGTTACCGAAAGTGAACATTCGGCAAACAGTCATTTGGTTGGTTGTAAGGGTACCGGTTTTGTCAGAACAAATCACTGTTGTACACCCAAGAGTTTCAACACTTGGTAATGATCGGACAATAGCATTTTTGCGAGCCATTCGACGGGTCCCCAAAGCTAGACACGTTGTGATAACAGCCGGTAGACCTTCTGGAATCGCCGCTACGGCAAGCGCGACTGCAATTTTAAAGTAGTAAACAGCACCTCTGAGCCAAGAACCACCATGCACTGGGTCGTTAAAATGGCCAATGTTAATGCACCATACAGCAATACATATGAGTGTTATGACCTACAATAATGAAAAAAAGTTGTGTTTTATGAAAAACATGACTGAAATTAATTTGAAAACTTAAGTAATAAGGATTAGAAAAATTATAAATCGACACTAGAAACATTTTGTAGTGGAAAAATCACGAAACGCAAAAACAAGCAGAAATTAATTATATACCTTTGATAACTGTGTTCCAAATTCATCTATTTTCTGCCCGAGAGGAGTCTTATCTTGTTCTGTATGCATGATTTGATCACGAATTTTGCCTATTTCTGTCGAAAGTCCTGTCCCAACTACTACTCCAACACATTTTCCGGAGGCTACATTTGTACCGCTAAATAGCATATTCTTTTTGTCTTGATTGACAGCTCGAGCCTGGGATATAGGGTCACTGTGCTTTGAAACTGATACTGATTCACCAGTTAAGATAGACTGATCAATGAGAAGTGTTGTAGACAAGATTTTAACGATTCTAATATCCGCTGGAACCCGATCTCCAACTAAATAGGCAAATCAATAAAATGAAACTTAGAATACCTTGATAATTATTGACCAGCAAAAATCCAATATATACCAATGCATACAAAGAATTAAGGTACCTATGATATATTAGGCAAAGAACAAAATTATTTTGCCGGTGCACTGATTTAACCCAGATGTGTCTGCAACGAGTAAAATAAGACTTCCTCATGGGGAAATCAACATTTAAACCCAAATCAAAAGCAATTTACAGGCTGTCAAAGACACTGGTACAAATTATAAGTACACAAACCTATTTGTTCATTCCACTGTGGTACAACAGAGAACTTGGTCAAAGGGATCCTTAAAACATTATTCACACTATTTTAGTGTATTACAGAACCGCCATCAGTGTAATTAAATGCGGTTTAAGATATTACAGATAAAGATTGTTCAGTTATGTGAGCAGTTTTCGAGAGGTCTTTCAGACATCGGAAAAGTGGTTTGTCAAAGAAGTCATCATCGCACAATGTTTCAGCGTCGATCAACACAAGGATTTTAATTACCTGTTTTTCGCTTTTAACATTATAACAGGTCGGTGATTTTGTTATTGATATTCACGCAATTCAATACAAGCCACTTGTGCTGTTTAATTACACTCAGGAAAAAACTCACTGACAAAACAGGTATAACATACCAGCAACTTCCACAATGTCTCCAGGCACTAATTCACGGGCTTTCACACTCTGCACACCTTGATAACCCTGACGAATAACCTTTGCAGTATCAGACTCATATTCTTTTAAGGCTTCTATGGCTGACTCAGCGTTACGTTCCTTAATTTATAAAACCTAATTCGGGACGACTTACCTGCCAAACACCAACGATTGCATTCACGATTAATATGAGCATTATGACAACTGGCTCGACAAATGCAGTAGTCGCATCTTCGCTATCTTCAAACCAGGCCAAGACCTAAAGTGAAACTGTAAAAATACATCATGATGGATTACAAATGAGATAACAGCTGCTAGTAAGAGAATTTTGACCAAGAGGTCGTCGAACTGTTCAAGTACCAATTTCCAAAGAGGCTTGTTTTCTTCCGGTGGCAACTCTAAAAGAATGTCTATTTTCAAGAAGAACAAACCATTGTAGCCATACTCCTTCAAAGAGGATTCAATCTGCTTTTTAGTTAATCCAGTTTCAGTGTTCGTATTGTAGTGCTTTAGGACATCATCAACTGTACAAGAATAAGCTTCCTCCAACATGTCAAGCTATATCCTCAGAAGTTGGCGCTGCTAGCAAACCTACGTGGGAGCGCCATAAACATGATTTTTGACGCAGTAAAACATTACCTCAACAGCTATGATGCAAATATTTTTCAATCTCAAAATTTAAAATATACGTAACACAGCAACCTTTCTGACATTCTAAGTACGACAGAGGTCGGTCTCAAGCTGATAAAATAAGGCTTGAATGAGAATGTAACTACTTTTACATATGTCAACTAACCATCAACTTTTATAGAAAAAGGCCTTGAAGAAAGTTGCGTTATTAACTTACAAATCTAGGTTATCATTGACGAAATTTAAGCATAAGTTACTTACTTCTTGTAATATTGATATTTAAAATCAGGCAATTTAATGAACTTTGAAACCCTGTTCATTTGAATTAGAAACTGTACAATAGGCAGTTGACATAAGCGTGTAAAATAATTTTAAAAGTTTTGCGTTATTGTACTTTTAAGTGCCACCACATCTTCGATGTTGCTTCTGTCTAATCAAACTAATGGTCCAGTGTAACATCTCTGAGCCCTGGACAGCGGTCCACCAGACTTAATTGTTCCTCTATTAGACAACAGGTCGCTGATCATTAGATAGTCTACTGAGCATTGTTAAGGTCAAGGATGAATAGCGTGGATCAATTCCATTATTCAATTGCATGCCTTGTACAGGCACATGAGGTGGCTTTTCTCATTCGTACCATCGTGATGAGCTAATATTAAGATATGGAGTTGCTTATAGAGAGTATCTATTCTATCCAGTTAATACGTCAAACAATTCATCTGGTTGTCAGAATAACATAATCGCGGTTAGGCATAAACAATGAGAAAGATATAACTTGAACTTGGGCTGGGTGGTCACATAGTTCGCATTAGACTCGAGTAGACTGCGATCACCTACGTCGGTGGTAAACGATTTGAGAATACGGCAGGAATCGGGCATGTATTTTGATCTATATGGGTTTCGGGCTAATCTGCATGTCGTGCTAAGTAGCCTTATGTAAAGTAACACTGGTAACAATGACCCGCTTTCGTTCAGTTGCAGGTAACAGATTTAGAGATGTGTGAATGGTATGATTAACATTCACACGATTAGATACAAATACGTCCTTCACAGTTTACATAGATCTAGCGTGCTACTGACCAGATGTTTCACTGTGAAAATATAAGAAAGAGGGAAATCTACAATTGTAATACAAAGGCTGCATGGATCTGTAGTGTTATCGGTTCCTGATCACACGATCTTTGAAACGGAGAGTATAATTACTGAGATTCATATTCAACATATAACACTAAGAGCAGGTCAACAATGGTGAATGCTGAAGCAATTAATCGAAATGGCATTGCTCTTGCTTGTCAATTCAAATTTATTACTCTCGTCTCAGTTCTTAAGAAATATTGGATGTCATAGTCCTGATCGCCACCACAGGACGAGTCAGTGAAAAGAGTAATGTTCTTTCCACTTGAGATCTTATAGATAAGGTAGTCACATCATAACAAGTAATTTTGGGACTAGGTCGATTATTATAGTAGTACAAATAACAAACTAGGCCATAATTCTTAAGTTTTCCGTGAGCCATGAGGTTTGAGAGGTCAGCTTTATTCATATTTCTTTATCAAAGACTAAGAAGTGGTTCAATTGTGATTTATGGAATACAAAGACATAATTTTGGGCCTGAACCTCGGTTCTCTTTCAAGCTAGACCTGAACAAATAAGACGGCTCAGCCAACAACAAAAGAAAACATAAAGCCGACGTCACTAGTGGATAATGCTGTTCCACTAACCTATCCTATGAGCCTACAAAGTAGGGGACCTCGGTGACAATCTTTGGATATTGTCTTTCTTTAACTTGTCATCCCCAATCTTTCTGATAACATCTTATCTCTCAGTTAATTAGACTGACGAAGCAGCATATACTGGGACCGGATTTTGATTGGATCAGCCAAGAAGTCAACAAATAGTCTAGCCTCTACGCAAGATTAGGTAAGTCAATGTGTCATATCATTTTGCTCCAACTCAAATGAATGCGAACTTAGGATTAAACGAAATCAGCAACTCTATCACATCAATAATTGTTAGACATTCATGAGTATAAGGCAGCCAGTTTTTTGGGCACTCAAAATGATAACCTAACTGGTTTCAAGGATAAAGTTTGCATATACTAATAAAGGACGAAATAAAATGAATGTAACTTATACTGACTGCTAGACCTTTTCTTTGTATCAATTGTCTTTTCAACAACTATATGCTCGGCTTCAAAAGACGTATGGTTAGGGTCCGATTCCACTACAAATTCACTGGCTATTCTCACTGAATATAAGCTTATGCTGTGTTCAGTAAAATTGTAGTGGGGGAAGACTTGGTGAAGAAAACCAATTTGCCTAAGGCGTGAATACAGAGTGCTTTCGTAAAATGTAAAAATCATACATTAAACACATCATTTGCGTCTCTCCCTTCAGTTTTCTTTACATACATTATGATTCTTTCAGTTTCATTTATATGATAATCACTCAGAACTTTCTTTCCTGTTCTCTGCAAATCAATTTCCTTGCTGTTACATACCATATATACCTGTCAAAATAAAAAAAACACCTCAAAACCAATGGATATGACACCACTTACAGCCGCATTTCCAAATGTGGAGATATCAAAGCTATAGTTGAGATGCTAGCACTTTTGGACAAAACCAGTGGTATCAAAACTGCATATATTTTGGTACCCCTTTGGCAAAACGTGACAGCGTCGAGCTTTCGTCTTTGAACCTATCGATTTGCCAATTCTACGCTACTTAGAGCGGAGCATGTAATTAGAACAGTACAACAATGATATGCCGCATGAATTACCCGTTACCTATTCGATTATCTGGATCACCTATTTTTCCAACCGTCCAGATACCGCGACAAGTTTCTTCTCTTAGTTCGTTTTAACTTACTGTGTCTGTAAGCCTCATGACATATTCGCATGTTCATATAAAAATCCACAACTGATTACTATATGAATTACGGCAAAATACAACTGAAGATGTTGAAGTGGCTGGTGATATGAATTAAAAACAACGAACGCCAATCGAATGTATGTTCCGGAAATAATAACTACCAATTCGAAATGATTTGTTGACAAAGTGATCCATACTCAATTTTTGTTAAATATATTTTGGCTACGATTTCTATACGTATCGTAATTGTGGTGTAATCACAATCAGAGGACTCGGGTTGATTGGTTTACATAACAGCAGTTTAGTGTTACTAAATGTATAGTGTTTTCAGTATTTATCTTCGGAATCAATCAAACAATAAGAAGTGATCAGGTGGTAAGGCCATACCTTTCAAATGTGAACATGAGTCGATGTAACCATAAAACGTCTAAGCTTTCAAACGACTTTGTCGACTTTGAACTATAAGATGACGCTCAAAACACAAATAAAACACTTATGTTCATGTCACCAATGCTTGAATGACTCCGTACTATAGTTCGTCATGACCATTCATTTTCGTTAATGATTCCATGTTGATGAAAAACACCCAGGCTCTGAAAAACTTATTTCATATGATAAACTGAGATTAATGCACAAATCGCTTTTCACAAAACATCTTTGGTGTTGTTAATTCTAATATTCAAGTCTTCTCAGATATTTCTGATCCTACTTGGACGACATTTGTACTTGGATGTGATCTGGTGGGAATGTCTAACCCAGAGCCTTCAGCTAGGATGTGTCTAGTAATTAGGTGTGTGGGTCATAAGTATCTGAATTATTATACGAACTCGGAATCCCGGAAACAGCAGAATTTAGACCAAGAAGAATAAGGTGAGCACAAACAAACGTATTGCGATTGTAATTCGAAATCAGACAGTCATCAAGTACAAAGAAAACATTAGTTCATACAAACACCAAATGAGGTCGGTATCAACGTTTATTACCTACTGAACTATTTAGTTTGAGAGTTTATTCTCCACTCCATTCCAAAAATATCACATTTACAGACTACAATGGAACATTATAGAGCAAACTATTAGGAAGTGTGGAAAACAAATGTTATCAGTCTTGAAGCACAGAGTGAAGATATTATTGAAAATTAAGCCTTGAGATGCTCCTTCAATTTAACTAATGATCATGATAATGTTATCGTAGCTATTTATCGTGGGTAGGTTGGATAACTGAAGTGCCGACAAAATATAAGAGGATCAATATCAAAGTTTACCATATGTCACACAACTTATTTTTGACGACCATATTTCACTGCATTCAAAACGCGCGTTTTACCACCAGTTATCTGTTCTTCTCCAGAAAGTGCGTTCGACAGATATTGTAGTACTAGCCGGAGACTTGAATGCTCAGGTCGGGCGTCTAGGCACAGAAGAGAGTCGTTTATGTGGCCGATGGGGACTCGTTGGTCGCAGGACAGGTAACGGGGACCGTCTACTGCGACTTTGCACAGACCACAACCTGTTTCTGGCTAGCACTAACTTTCGGCACAGTCATCGCCGATGTGCCACCTGGCGTCCTCCCTCTGCATCTCAACCCTGGACTCAGATTGATCACATCGCGATCAGCTACCGCTGGCGTGGTTGTGTAAAAGACTGCCGCTCCTTTTGGAGTACCTATCTGGACTCTGACCATGCCTTGGTCTGCGCCAATCTTGCCTTACTTTTCAGTGGCCAACGAAGTGACCACCACCAAAAGATTGATGTTAGCAAGCTGGTTGCAACTTCTGTTGCAAATAAGTATCGAACCGAGCTAGCCTCTAGGCTAGCTACCACTCCACCGAAAAGTATAGATGAGCATTGGTTGCAATTGCATGACGCCATGAAAATGGCGGGAACAGTCAGTTGTGGGTTTGCGAAACGTCCCGCTTTTAAGCACTGGGTTTCTCCAGGTTCCTTACAACTCATTGAAGCCCGTCGGTCTACTCCGGGTGACCGTGAGTTTGACCATAAACGAAGGATGTTACGTAAGGAAATTGGGCAAAGCTTGCGTAAGGACCGAGAAGCCTGGTGGTCGATGCGTGCTAATGAGCTGGAAGCAGCAGCTGCATCTGGTAACTACCGGAAGCTCTTCCAGCTCATCCGAGCCACTGGCAGCAAGAAGTCTGGTGTGAGTGAAACAATCTGCGAGGATGATGGGATGCCAATCACTAACATCCATCGACGTCTTGGACGATGGGCAGAATTTTTCGAAGGGCAGTTCAACTGGCCTGCTGCTCCGGCAACATCAGTCAGACTGTCATGCCCTCCATGGCCGGTGACGACTGATCCACCAAATGAGGAGGAAGTCCGCAAGGAACTCCAACTCTTGAAGCGTTACAAATCACCTGGCCCAGATGACTTACCTCCGGCTCTTTTTAAAGATGGTGGTGACTTTTTGACTAAGGAATTGACGACGTTGTTTACAAAGGTTTGGGAACTAGAGAGTGTACCAACGTCATGGAATGAGTCGATAGTTGTCCCTATCTTTAAAAAGGGTTCACGTCGTTCCTGCAACAACTATCGTGGGATAAGTCTACTTACGATTGCGTCCAAGCTATTGGCTTCCGTCATTCTTCGTAGGTCGTTCAAAACCCGAGAAAGATTGACTCGCGAGGGGCAGGCTGGGTTTCGTTTTGGTCGAGGATGTATTGATCATATCTTCACCCTCCGCCAAATGTTAGAACACCGCCATACTTTTCAAAGGCCAACAATCGTCGTGTTTCTTGACATCAGGGCTGCCCAATCTCACCATTCCTCTTCGACTTTGCCATCGATGACATTCTGGAAACAGCTCTGACGAATGTAAGTAATGGTGGTGTGGATCTGTTGCTTGGAGAAAGACTTCTCGACCTTGAGTATGCGGACGATATTGTCTTACTGTGCGATAATGCCCAAGGCATGCAATCCGCACTTAATCAGTTGGCAATCAGTGTCCGTAGGTATGGTATGTGCTTTGCACCTTCGAAGTGCAAAGTACTTCTACAAGACTGGCAGGATTCCAATCCTGTACTCACCCTGGATGGTGAGCAGATAGACGTAGTTGAGAAGTTCGTGTATCCGGGTAGCTGCATAAGTGCTGGTGGGGGTGTGAGTGATGAGATCAATGCACGAATAGTGAAAGCCAGAGCGGCTTATGCCAATCTGGGCCACCTTTGGCGCCTTCGTGATGTTAGTCTGGCTGTAAAAGGCCGGATCTACAACGCGTCGGTGAGAGCAGTTTTGCTCTATGCTTGTGAAACCTGGTCTCTCCGAGTTGAGGACGTTAGACGACTCTCTGTGTTCGATCGTCGCTGTCTCCGAAGGATTGCTGACATTCAGTGGCAACACCATGTCAGTAATGCAGAGGTTCGGCATCGTGTGTTCGGGCACAGAGATGATAATGCAATTGGTGTCACCATCTTGAAACACCGACTTCGGTGGCTTGGACATGTTCTACGAATGTCGTCCCAGAGAATTCCACGTCGTGCATTATTTGCCGACTCTGGGACTGGTTGGAAGAAGCGGAGAGGTGGTCAGTGCATGACATGGTGTCGTGGCATGAAAGAAAGCTGCAAAGGACTGGCTTGTGTTGGTCCTTCACGACTCCCTGGCTGGGGTCCGAGAGATGGTGCTACACAGTGGCTAGAGACGTTATCAGATATGGCTCAGAATAGAAGCCAGTGGCGATCCAGCTGTAACCTTCTTTTACTTTCTTTATAAAAAGTGGTTGTGTCTGCTTTACCTGAAAGATTTCTTCTGATTGTACCTTGTCGTTCCGTCGTTACTACCACACTACCTTACTCCAATCTCTTCGTCATTGTTCTCTTTTTCTTTTGCGTTCCTTAGTTTTTTTTTTCTTTCCTTCTACTTCTCTTCGAATTCTCATTGTTTTGTGTGGCGCATATATATTGGCGCTCTCTTGTACCAATATTTATGTGTTCAAATAAATAAATAAAAAAACTAAGAAGGTCAACTACCTGGATATCGCGATTACAAATCATTGCAAGCTGGTGATTAGTAAGATTTGATTTAGAGACTTTTGTGACATTCATTTTCTCAACCAAGCAGACCAATGCAGTCTCAGTCGCTTCACCCACTTTTTCATATGCATGCCGAGATTCACTGTATTCCACAGACGAGTCATTGCACAAAGAACATATTTGCGCAAGTTCTACAAGACAAGGATATTCAGAACAGTCTATTTTTCGTCCTTGATGGTGCCTGAAAATACGAAAGCAAGGTTTTATTAAAGTGATTGCTTCGGAAAAATACTGGCATGAATATCAATCGTGAGAGAACAGTGATATTCTTATGATTAGACACAAAAGCGCTAACTTGCATATTAACTCACTGGTTGAGGGTAGCTACATATATTAAGGTAAAAGGTAAGGGAAACTAATTCAACATAACATTTACATCAGCTAGATACCATATTTTCGAACGCATTAACAGTACAAATAGTTCAATCACTTTCGATTTCTCTGGTGAATTGTTTATAGTCTTACATAATGAAAACACGTCATGCTTCTACTTTATCGATAGCTAATGAGTTTTAGATTTATTTCCGAATTAACGCTGATATTTGTGGTCGACTCAACTCCGATGTATGTGCGTGTATAGTTTATGCTGAACAGAACCTCAATAATTAATTCAGAAGCCTTAGTTATTCAGGAAGACACTGTGAGAGGCTTTAGAAAGGTTGATTCGTTTTGCTTGTCATGATCAGTACACTCTATATACGAAGATTGTATAAATAGATGATCAGAAAATGGCACACCAATAAAACACGAAAACTAAGCTGAAACCTACACATTTCCTTCTGGAGCATATTTAGAACCCGTAATTTCAAACTCATCAAATTTTAGCTGCGAAGCATCACCGACCCGACTCTCGTTACCGAAAGTGAACATTCGGCAAACAGTCATTTGGTTGGTTGTAAGGGTACCGGTTTTGTCAGAACAAATCACTGTTGTACACCCAAGAGTTTCAACACTTGGTAATGATCGGACAATAGCATTTTTGCGAGCCATTCGACGGGTCCCCAAAGCTAGACACGTTGTGATAACAGCCGGTAGACCTTCTGGAATCGCCGCTACGGCAAGCGCGACTGCAATTTTAAAGTAGTAAACAGCACCTCTGAGCCAAGAACCACCATGCACTGGGTCGTTAAAATGGCCAATGTTAATGCACCATACAGCAATACATATGAGTGTTATGACCTACAATAATGAAAAAAAGTTGTGTTTTATGAAAAACATGACTGAAATTAATTTGAAAACTTAAGTAATAAGGATTAGAAAAATTATAAATCGACACTAGAAACATTTTGTAGTGGAAAAATCACGAAACGCAAAAACAAGCAGAAATTAATTATATACCTTTGATAACTGTGTTCCAAATTCATCTATTTTCTGCCCGAGAGGAGTCTTATCTTGTTCTGTATGCATGATTTGATCACGAATTTTGCCTATTTCTGTCGAAAGTCCTGTCCCAACTACTACTCCAACACATTTTCCGGAGGCTACATTTGTACCGCTAAATAGCATATTCTTTTTGTCTTGATTGACAGCTCGAGCCTGGGATATAGGGTCACTGTGCTTTGAAACTGATACTGATTCACCAGTTAAGATAGACTGATCAATGAGAAGTGTTGTAGACAAGATTTTAACGATTCTAATATCCGCTGGAACCCGATCTCCAACTAAATAGGCAAATCAATAAAATGAAACTTAGAATACCTTGATAATTATTGACCAGCAAAAATCCAATATATACCAATGCATACAAAGAATTAAGGTACCTATGATATATTAGGCAAAGAACAAAATTATTTTGCCGGTGCACTGATTTAACCCAGATGTGTCTGCAACGAGTAAAATAAGACTTCCTCATGGGGAAATCAACATTTAAACCCAAATCAAAAGCAATTTACAGGCTGTCAAAGACACTGGTACAAATTATAAGTACACAAACCTATTTGTTCATTCCACTGTGGTACAACAGAGAACTTGGTCAAAGGGATCCTTAAAACATTATTCACACTATTTTAGTGTATTACAGAACCGCCATCAGTGTAATTAAATGCGGTTTAAGATATTACAGATAAAGATTGTTCAGTTATGTGAGCAGTTTTCGAGAGGTCTTTCAGACATCGGAAAAGTGGTTTGTCAAAGAAGTCATCATCGCACAATGTTTCAGCGTCGATCAACACAAGGATTTTAATTACCTGTTTTTCGCTTTTAACATTATAACAGGTCGGTGATTTTGTTATTGATATTCACGCAATTCAATACAAGCCACTTGTGCTGTTTAATTACACTCAGGAAAAAACTCACTGACAAAACAGGTATAACATACCAGCAACTTCCACAATGTCTCCAGGCACTAATTCACGGGCTTTCACACTCTGCACACCTTGATAACCCTGACGAATAACCTTTGCAGTATCAGACTCATATTCTTTTAAGGCTTCTATGGCTGACTCAGCGTTACGTTCCTTAATTTATAAAACCTAATTCGGGACGACTTACCTGCCAAACACCAACGATTGCATTCACGATTAATATGAGCATTATGACAACTGGCTCGACAAACGCAGTAGTCGCATCTTCGCTATCTTCAAACCAGGCCAAGACCTAAAGTGAAACTGTAAAAATACATCATGATGGATTACAAATGAGATAACAGCTGCTAGTAAGAGAATTTTGACCAAGAGGTCGTCGAACTGTTCAAGTACCAATTTCCAAAGAGGCTTGTTTTCTTCCGGTGGCAACTCTAAAAGAATGTCTATTTTCAAGAAGAACAAACCATTGTAGCCATACTCCTTCAAAGAGGATTCAATCTGCTTTTTAGTTAATCCAGTTTCAGTGTTCGTATTGTAGTGCTTTAGGACATCATCAACTGTACAAGAATAAGCTTCCTCCAACATGTCAAGCTATATCCTCAGAAGTTGGCGCTGCTAGCAAACCTACGTGGGAGCGCCATAAACATGATTTTTGACGCAGTAAAACATTACCTCAACAGCTATGATGCAAATATTTTTCAATCTCAAAATTTAAAATATACGTAACACAGCAACCTTTCTGACATTCTAAGTACGACAGAGGTCGGTCTCAAGCTGATAAAATAAGGCTTGAATGAGAATGTAACTACTTTTACATATGTCAACTAACCACCAACTTTTATAGAAAAAGGCCTTGAAGAAAGTTGCGTTATTAACTTACAAATCTAGGTTATCATTGACGAAATTTAAGCATAAGTTACTTACTTCTTGTAATATTGATATTTAAAATCAGGCAATTTAATGAACTTTGAAACCCTGTTCATTTGAATTAGAAACTGTACAATAGGCAGTTGACATAAGCGTGTAAAATAATTTTAAAAGTTTTGCGTTATTGTACTTTTAAGTGCCACCACATCTTCGATGTTGCTTCTGTCTAATCAAACTAATGGTCCAGTGTAACATCTCTGAGCCCTGGACAGCGGTCCACCAGACTTAATTGTTCCTCTATTAGACAACAGGTCGCTGATCATTAGATAGTCTACTGAGCATTGTTAAGGTCAAGGATGAATAGCGTGGATCAATTCCATTATTCAATTGCATGCCTTGTACAGGCACATGAGGTGGCTTTTCTCATTCGTACCATCGTGATGAGCTAATATTAAGATATGGAGTTGCTTATAGAGAGTATCTATTCTATCCAGTTAATACGTCAAACAATTCATCTGGTTGTCAGAATAACATAATCGCGGTTAGGCATAAACAATGAGAAAGATATAACTTGAACTTGGGCTGGGTGGTCACATAGTTCGCATTAGACTCGAGTAGACTGCGATCACCTACGTCGGTGGTAAACGATTTGAGAATACGGCAGGAATCGGGCATGTATTTTGATCTATATGGGTTTCGGGCTAATCTGCATGTCGTGCTAAGTAGCCTTATGTAAAGTAACACTGGTAACAATGACCCGCTTTCGTTCAGTTGCAGGTAACAGATTTAGAGATGTGTGAATGGTATGATTAACATTCACACGATTAGATACAAATACGTCCTTCACAGTTTACATAGATCTAGCGTGCTACTGACCAGATGTTTCACTGTGAAAATATAAGAAAGAGGGAAATCTACAATTGTAATACAAAGGCTGCATGGATCTGTAGTGTTATCGGTTCCTGATCACACGATCTTTGAAACGGAGAGTATAATTACTGAGATTCATATTCAACATATAACACTAAGAGCAGGTCAACAATGGTGAATGCTGAAGCAATTAATCGAAATGGCATTGCTCTTGCTTGTCAATTCAAATTTATTACTCTCGTCTCAGTTCTTAAGAAATATTGGATGTCATAGTCCTGATCGCCACCACAGGACGAGTCAGTGAAAAGAGTAATGTTCTTTCCACTTGAGATCTTATAGATAAGGTAGTCACATCATAACAAGTAATTTTGGGACTAGGTCGATTATTATAGTAGTACAAATAACAAACTAGGCCATAATTCTTAAGTTTTCCGTGAGCCATGAGGTTTGAGAGGTCAGCTTTATTCATATTTCTTTATCAAAGACTAAGAAGTGGTTCAATTGTGATTTATGGAATACAAAGACATAATTTTGGGCCTGAACCTCGGTTCTCTTTCAAGCTAGACCTGAACAAATAAGACGGCTCAGCCAACAACAAAAGAAAACATAAAGCCGACGTCACTAGTGGATAATGCTGTTCCACTAACCTATCCTATGAGCCTACAAAGTAGGGGACCTCGGTGACAATCTTTGGATATTGTCTTTCTTTAACTTGTCATCCCCAATCTTTCTGATAACATCTTATCTCTCAGTTAATTAGACTGACGAAGCAGCATATACTGGGACCGGATTTTGATTGGATCAGCCAAGAAGTCAACAAATAGTCTAGCCTCTACGCAAGATTAGGTAAGTCAATGTGTCATATCATTTTGCTCCAACTCAAATGAATGCGAACTTAGGATTAAACGAAATCAGCAACTCTATCACATCAATAATTGTTAGACATTCATGAGTATAAGGCAGCCAGTTTTTTGGGCACTCAAAATGATAACCTAACTGGTTTCAAGGATAAAGTTTGCATATACTAATAAAGGACGAAATAAAATGAATGTAACTTATACTGACTGCTAGACCTTTTCTTTGTATCAATTGTCTTTTCAACAACTATATGCTCGGCTTCAAAAGACGTATGGTTAGGGTCCGATTCCACTACAAATTCACTGGCTATTCTCACTGAATATAAGCTTATGCTGTGTTCAGTAAAATTGTAGTGGGGGAAGACTTGGTGAAGAAAACCAATTTGCCTAAGGCGTGAATACAGAGTGCTTTCGTAAAATGTAAAAATCATACATTAAACACATCATTTGCGTCTCTCCCTTCAGTTTTCTTTACATACATTATGATTCTTTCAGTTTCATTTATATGATAATCACTCAGAACTTTCTTTCCTGTTCTCTGTAAATCAATTTCCTTGCTGTTACATACCATATATACCTGTCAAAATAAAAAAAACACCTCAAAACCAATGGATATGACACCACTTACAGCCGCATTTCCAAATGTGGAGATATCAAAGCTATAGTTGAGATGCTAGCACTTTTGGACAAAACCAGTGGTATCAAAACTGCATATATTTTGGTACCCCTTTGGCAAAACGTGACAGCGTCGAGCTTTCGTCTTTGAACCTATCGATTTGCCAATTCTACGCTACTTAGAGCGGAGCATGTAATTAGAACAGTACAACAATGATATGCCGCATGAATTACCCGTTACCTATTCGATTATCTGGATCACCTATTTTTCCAACCGTCCAGATACCGCGACAAGTTTCTTCTCTTAGTTCGTTTTAACTTACTGTGTCTGTAAGCCTCATGACATATTCGCATGTTCATATAAAAATCCACAACTGATTACTATATGAATTACGGCAAAATACAACTGAAGATGTTGAAGTGGCTGGTGATATGAATTAAAAACAACGAACGCCAATCGAATGTATGTTCCGGAAATAATAACTACCAATTCGAAATGATTTGTTGACAAAGTGATCCATACTCAATTTTTGTTAAATATATTTTGGCTACGATTTCTATACGTATCGTAATTGTGGTGTAATCACAATCAGAGGACTCGGGTTGATTGGTTTACATAACAGCAGTTTAGTGTTACTAAATGTATAGTGTTTTCAGTATTTATCTTCGGAATCAATCAAACAATAAGAAGTGATCAGGTGGTAAGGCCATACCTTTCAAATGTGAACATGAGTCGATGTAACCATAAAACGTCTAAGCTTTCAAACGACTTTGTCGACTTTGAACTATAAGATGACGCTCAAAACACAAATAAAACACTTATGTTCATGTCACCAATGCTTGAATGACTCCGTACTATAGTTCGTCATGACCATTCATTTTCGTTAATGATTCCATGTTGATGAAAAACACCCAGGCTCTGAAAAACTTATTTCATATGATAAACTGAGATTAATGCACAAATCGCTTTTCACAAAACATCTTTGGTGTTGTTAATTCTAATATTCAAGTCTTCTCAGATATTTCTGATCCTACTTGGACGACATTTGTACTTGGATGTGATCTGGTGGGAATGTCTAACCCAGAGCCTTCAGCTAGGATGTGTCTAGTAATTAGGTGTGTGGGTCATAAGTATCTGAATTATTATACGAACTCGGAATCCCGGAAACAGCAGAATTTAGACCAAGAAGAATAAGGTGAGCACAAACAAACGTATTGCGATTGTAATTCGAAATCAGACAGTCATCAAGTACAAAGAAAACATTAGTTCATACAAACACCAAATGAGGTCGGTATCAACGTTTATTACCTACTGAACTATTTAGTTTGAGAGTTTATTCTCCACTCCATTCCAAAAATATCACATTTACAGACTACAATGGAACATTATAGAGCAAACTATTAGGAAGTGTGGAAAACAAATGTTATCAGTCTTGAAGCACAGAGTGAAGATATTATTGAAAATTAAGCCTTGAGATGCTCCTTCAATTTAACTAATGATCATGATAATGTTATCGTAGCTATTTATCGTGGGTAGGTTGGATAACTGAAGTGCCGACAAAATATAAGAGGATCAATATCAAAGTTTACCATATGTCACACAACTTATTTTTGACGATCATATTTCACTGCATTCAAAACGCGCTATATTAAATTCATCTGTTAGTTTTAAGATGACTTGCTACCTAAAGTATTTCGATTTTTCATACAAAGGTTTAAGCATTTGCTGCAAAAACACCATGTGTGAAATCTCTTCATGTACTGTTTGGTTTGAAATAAACTGACGAAAGGGGCTCTCCATTGAAATTTACGTACCGTTTACTTATTTCGAATGTTCGTCACGCTATTTTAAAAGAGGAGTGACATTTTCTCTGCAATACTGACTGCTGTTTTTGCTTCAATTGAGTTTGTTTTAGTTAAAGTGATCTCTAAGAGTATCGCCTTTTTAGAGAAATTTTTCATCTGTACGTTTTGAGTACAGATGCAAAAAAGGACACTGGCTTTTTTCCTCATTGAGTAT